TTATTTATAATTATTGTTCTTTATATCTCACATTGTTCATACAAACTCAGTTAACTATGGTCCCATGATATGAAAGTATCGAAGGGTGTGGTGGTAGTATGCACATAACGTGGATGGTTTTTTTTTTTTCCAAATTCGAATTTCACGACAAAACTACTATTTATCAACCAGTATATATCTTTGCCGAAATAATAATTCATTTCTAATATTCAATGTCACTAAAGGAGTTGGCGTACCTTCCATCATGATATGATAAGTCACATTGGGTACTAACAATACAGAACTGGTCCAATTCACGTGTTTTCCCTGCTAAGTTATAAATTGATGCCATCTTTTTTGTATTTTAGCTTAGATATTTTATTGAAATTTTATCAACTTTTTGATTTATTAAATTTTAATTTTAATTACAAATTTATAACCTCATAATTTCGATCAAATTTCCAACAATAAATTTCCATCAATTTTTTTTTTCTCTTTAAAATTTATTGGGCCTCGGGGTCGGTCTATCCAAACCTGTCCCCACTCCCACTGCTCCTGCTTGGTTTACATTGTGGATATTATTGGTGATTGATTGAAGAGCGCGTTGTTAAAATTAATACACAAAAAGCTATCCCTTTACACAATGTCAAACTTGATGTACATATAGGCTCCGTTAAGTACTCATTTTTTTTAAAATGCATTTTTCTCTCTCTTCTTTTCAACCACACATTTTTCATTAAAATAATATTACACGTAAATAAAAAAAATTTCTTATTTTTCAACCACACATTTCTCATTAATTTATTATTCCAAAATGCATTTTTACATAAAAATGACTCTCAAACACCCTCTATTACTAAAACTGCTCAAAGAATTGCTTGTTTTTCACTAGTCAACAATGGAATTGTTTTTGCTACCACTTTCCACAATCTAAAGGTTCTTCCATTAACTTTTGGGAATGAGGCATAAACATTGATGCAAAAATTTAGTGTGACATGTCGAACATCGATAAATATTTGCCGATCATCTTGTGAACACTATATTTGAGTTCAAATCTTGTTGTCGCATATTTATAGATCAACTTTTCAATTCATTACTTTTATAAAAATATGTTAAAACTTGTATTAAAAGTTTTGTGATTCTGACCATAATTGTTACAAAAAAATATGAATACAACCTTTATGTCTAGGGTCAGTGTCCATGCTTAAATAATTTAAACTTTTAGATGAATTGGTTCAATGGTCCTATTTATATTTTTACCTTTATGTACTCCATGTCTATATATTTATCATTAGCTCATTTTTTCAAAAGTTGTATCTCACAATTTAAATCTCTAAAACGGCCAAATTGATTTAGAAGATGCAAATTAGACATGAAGCATTTAAAGTTTTGCTGTATACTTTCTCAATTGCATCAGACATTTACCATTTGAATTAACTGAAATATGAATTGAAGAAAATAATATATAATGTGGGTGATTGGTAATATTGAAATTTACCTAGTTAGTGCTATTTGTGTTGTTTTCCCTACATTTATTGGGTGTACTGCTGTGAAATTACGCATACAACATGCTCAGAATAAAAAATGCTCCTTTAATTAGCTTGTATAATAATAATAATAATAATAATAATAATAATAATAATAATAATAATAATAATAATAATAATAATAATAATATCCTCGAAAACATTGTGGAATGGCTATTTCAGAGAATATTATGGAACTAAACTAAATTCAATATATTAAATGCTTGGCGACTTCTGAACACTAGGGATGGGTCGATTCTCATAATGCCGATCTCATAAAGATAGGCGAGCGCAAAGAGCATAAATAGTTGAAATGTTAAGAAATGTAATCAATATATAATAAAGGTTATTCTTTGGTAAATTAAATTGTTTCTCTATGTGATTAGTTGAGTAAAATGCTATGAAATGTAATCAATTTGAAAGATTTCAAATGCAAGGTGGCGTTGGGCATTTTTTGGAAATGAGAATTCAACTTCAAACCAGGATGGGTAGTTTTTAGGGGTGTTTGATAGGTATTTTTATATAAAAATGTATTTTAGAATAGTAAATTGATGTGAAATGTGTGGTTGAGAAATAAGGAAAAGTTTTTTATTTACGTGTAATATTATTTTAATAAAGAATATATGGTTAAAAAGAAGAGAAAAAAAATACATTTTGAAAAAAATGGCTACCATACGGGGGCTATATTGTATTTGGGGCATCAATGTATGTTTGAGTATGATGATCCGAATTCTATTTGGTCCGATCTGAATAGCTCGTGTTCAACATATGTGGTGCAGCTAAAATTATGGAGGAAAAAAAAAAGAAAAAGGAAACCATCGATCCCTATCGGGGTGAGGGGGTGTAACCTTTATTATATATATGATGCATATTAGATTCATCATATAAGATAATTTGGAGTAGTCACACATCTTATCATTATCATTAATATAATTGCCATGATTTTTGATTGGTTTAGAAAATCATAATTAAGATTTTCTTGTTACAGAAGTATTGATAATTCAAGTCACAGGGCACAAGGGCAGGAGATTAATTCTGTGAAAAATACAATTCCATTATATATTGTGCCCCGTTTGATCCCCATTTTTATCAAAAATGCATTTTTTCCGTCACATCAACGTGGGACCCACACACCATTGTTTTATTGCAAATTTGAATTTAAAAGGCTTACAATTCCAACTTTAACCCTTGTACTTTAAGAAGCAAAACAATTCAAAATGATGTCCAAAAATCCGTTGAAAAGTCAAATAGTTTATAAAACTTTTCTCACACATTTCCCAAGACTTTCTAATCACACCCATGACCACCATATGCCTTCCGCAAAACATGGGCGGCTAAAAATGGGTTTACAAGTCAAATGTCCTCCAGAAATTTGTCTTGTTCCCACATTTTTCAACAAATTCTACCAACATCCAACCATATGATTTTCTAAAGGACATCGAGCGACCCCGTTCACATTATTTTTCTCGTGCGTTCTGCTTATTTGTGTCCCTTTCGAACTCGTATACTATTGGAAAAAAGAAACAAAAATCAAATTTAACCATACGCTTTATCGACTACAATCATAAGTGCGTATACAAATAGAAGCATTTTTTCATAACAAGCAATAGGTACAAAAAGTAGGCCAGTTCACGGTTGTTATTTTTTTTTAGTAGTAAAGTTAAGGGTGTGTTGGATTGATATGACAAAATGTCTCCTAAAAATGACAATATTGTGTCTATCGTAAGAAACACAAAAATCTATTAAATGCACATATTTTCATACAAAATTACACTACGTGACATGCTAGCGTAGATAATTGAAAGCAAATTACAGGATACAAACCGATTTCACGATAAATATAGGAGGTCAGACCATGGGGTCTGCGATACAACGACCTAATGAGAAGAACAATATTATGTTACAGCTGCCAAATATTTTAAAAGCATATTGGTGTCACGGCTGCTGTGTCATGTAATCCCGATGTCTATCCTATTCACTTCGTTGTATGTCTGGTGCATTCATTTTAGCATGCATTTCATCTTGTGCATCGGGAAGTTCCACCTTGGCTGCACCTTCATCCGCCTCGGCTCTAGTAAACACCTCGTCCACCACTCCTAAATGCCACAGGAAATTATGTATCCTCATCGTGGCTACTACAATTGTAACTTGCATCGAGAATGGGTAGCTTGGCATACAATCCAAGATCTTCCATCTTTGTTTCCACACACCAAATGCACGTTCTATGATATTCTTGCAGGACGAGTGTCTGAAATTAAATTTCTCTCAAGCATTTCAAAATCTACTGTGACGTCCCGTTCATTCGTCACGAAACTACTGAAAATAGTACAGTATGTCTAAACCTTTGTACAAGGCCATATACTCAGGACGATGAGCAAAATCGGAATCCACTAAATAGTACTTTCCCTAGGCCGACAACAAAAAATGTATTTCAGGATTGTAGATAGCACTAGCTAGCATTCACACATCATGCGTATTGCCAGAGTGTCATGTGAACACAAACTTGAAGCATAAATTAAAACACATACAGCCAACACGTTTTATGTTGGCACTCTTTTTCGCTAGTTCAAACGCTCATGCCGCGACAACACAAATGCAGTCCCCAAACAATGGATGTTTGCTCAGATTTAGCCTGTGCTGCTCGACATCGTCGTTGTAGTTCGAACTTGGATGAATCATACACTTTGAAAGGGCGATGACCGCACGTAAGACCTCTTTGACGTAGTGACATACAGTTTGCAATGGGTGGTTAAAAATCGTTGTCACTTGCCGATATCCCTTTTCGTGCGCTAATACACACAGAAACATGCCAACTTGCTCGTAGATGTCAACCTGCTGGCTGCTATGAAACCCATGCTCGTCGTATAACACATGAGCGAAATATCGGAGCATTACGGAATACATACTAAACTCTTGGTAGCACATCTGACCATTCCCGCCCATTGCTTCCATCATAAACATGTTACTGTTCTTGGAGAACGGAAATCGTTGGATACGATGCCATTTCCTGCGATAGTACTCACGTGCATCGACGCCAACGATTCTATAGTAAGTTAATCATGCCGTTGCATTAACTGCCAAATGGTAAAGGAATTGCTCTTCTTCGCATTCATCCTTCGAGTCAAAGCTCGGAAGTAGAATGCAGTTGAAGTTCAAGTCATCCATAATGGAAAACATGTTGTATTACTACAGTTAGAGAGCCAAAGCTTTTGTGTAACTATATAGACCACAGTTTCATTAGACACCTTTGAAGATCCTCATATATTTTTCTACATCACTCGGTGCATGGCCATTTACAGAATGAGGGATTACGTAGGAGTACATAAGGTGCACTACTGTACTCAAGCTCTCAAGTTGGAACAATGGTGCCACAACAGTTGCCCTACATTAAATTATTTCTCATAAAACATGCTTTTTGGCACATGAGTATGTACACCTGAACTATGCAAATCTTTGTGATCAGATCTATCGTGACAATTTTTTACATATCACAAGTGAAAAAAAATTTCGGCATCATAGCATGCATAATATTTAAATACACAACATACAATGGGAACAGACCGATGTATGCAAAAGTTAAACAGTTTTTGGGACACAAAACACAGGTACTCCTAACGCACATAATCAAAGGTGAAATTGTTTATTACGCTCGTTGAACAGCCATTGAATCCACTCAAATTTCTCATCTGCGTCTTTCATGACGGCGAACATGTCCGCTTCTCGCTAGAACTACACATGTAAAAAAGTAGAGCGGTGTCCGCCGCTGAAGATGTCATGTTGCCAACAACTCTTTGACATAGGCAGTGCCAATGTTCTCATTTGAGGTCATCATGGTTTTAATGTTTGCCGCCACTTCCTCCACGGCACTAGTGGCCCGATCAACAGAGAAAGACAGCTCTCTTGTAGATATTTTTTTCTTCTTCCCCAGTCGCTTGCCACTGGAGGACTTCCTTTTTGCGCCGCTTGTGGTGCTAGAGACATTCACGTTGGAGCTGATGGGAATTTTCTCTGCATCATCACTTGAACCACTACTCTCATCGTCGATTGGGATTGCATTACGGTGGTCTTCCAGCACGCTATCCTCGAATAGCTAGAACCCCGTTCGACACAACTTTGTCAAAGTGACTGCGTACTTCGCCCACCGTAACTGTCCCCGAATAGTTGACGATAGTGAATGTAGATTTCATTCACGTCCTTGTCCTTGTAGTCTTTATTTTCCTATGACCAAGGGTTAAAAATGAAGACATGTAAATGAAAAATCGGAATGTGCAAGAAAAAATAATCGCAACAGTCAAGCAATATTGCTCATAAGCACAAGAAAATAGTACATCGTTAGTTATTTCCACAATGCGATTTCGTAGATGTCGACATGCGTTAATGAAAAACAGTAAAGGAAAATAGATATTAACAGCACTATCTCAATCTTTCGTTTCCACCACTCCTCCGATGCAACGACTCGATCGATGGATTCGTTGTACGCAACCCCGCTGGAATTTAACAACTCGGAGAGATGTCTGTAGGTTCGACGCATGTGTCCTAGTGGTTGCATAGTTGCTGCTTGTTCCAGTTGTGGCCAGTGATTGAGTTGAACAGTGACGAGATTCATTCTCAGCCGTGTTTCATAAAACAACGATCGTTGCGATGGCGCTCAGCAATGGCGGTTTCACACGCCGCCATGCATGTTTAGGTCTCTGATACATTCCACTGAGGATAAGATTTTGACCTCGAGGCTCGACCTAGCTCCTGTGTAGCAAACGAGTTAGGCAGTGGATTATGTCCTAACGGCAAAGGTAAGTGGGGCATGAACAATGAGAAAACACTGGTATAGACATTATAACAACAAGTAGGGAATTTAGTTCTCTAGCTCATGGGAAATGAGCAGGCAAGTTCCATTCATATTAACCTCAATCTCGCAATCACTAGTAGAGTGCCACAATTTACGTTATTTTCAATGTAGTGGGCAACTAAAACCAAGTGTTTGCAGTTAGATGCAACGCAATCAGAAGACACTAATATGTCATAGCAAATCAATAATATCTTGTAATACAGGGGCATAGTTCTATTGATCAACATGTCGTTGCATTCACATAATTTTGAAGCCTCATTTTACTGCGATAATATTTTTACTACTTCATGAAAAAACCATATATTTTGTCCACATAATACTGGTATGAGCGCCTGTGTCTCACTCAAATTTTATAGGAGCTTGCATACTTGAAAACCAAAATACAATCACACGGACACCGAAAATAGCATAATAAATCAGTGGGGCAGCCTTCGGGTCTACGAAGCAAGAGTAGTCTATTTAAAGAAAGATAAATGACGGTGAGTGCGAGACAATTCTAGGGACAAACCTGTGTGTCGACGGGATTCATACGTGCACTGCGGAGATCCGGGCTCGGAGGCGACTTACTAAGTTGACGGACGATGACAGTTTGTTTCAGGCATCGTTACCTCTTCTTCAAAAAAAGTGCGCTTCAGACCCTCTGAGGAATTGAAAATACTGTCACCGGTTAGTGCGGCTGAAGATTGCGAGGGGATTATTGGTTTGTGCATCGAAAGGTTGTGGGACTTGCCGAAGTCGATTGCTCGTCGGCGGAAGGTCGTGGGGGTCTTTGAGCTGTCGGTGGGGAAGGGCAAGTAATGGAAAAGAAAAATCCATTTTCTCTGTTTAAAGTCACATGGGCTGTCAGACAAATAATTGGCAATGGTCTCAAAATTAATTTTTGACCAAAATTAATAGCTCCCAACCAGCCTCTAAGTTGTGAATATATCAAGCAATTCTTTGGGCAAATCCTATAATCATGTGGATAGAATTCAAACTCGTGACAAAAATTAATTTTCTGGACTATTGTGTTTTGTCGTGATTGAAGATTTTTATTGGGGTTCTGAACCTTGCAAGTAGACATTATGAGTCAAAATCATGCATCGTCGAATGATCATGATTTTACATTAAAAATTTTACATGAAAAAAAATACAAAAATTATTTTTTATTAGCAATCACGATAATACATATGAAACACGAAAGATATTGAGTGATAAAGATTAGGAGGAAAATAAAAATCAAATATTCAATGGATCAAGCCTAATGATATAGAGAATCATGAAATCTTTGAAAGCCCAAGAATGATTAACCAATAGGGGGTGAATTGGTTATTAAATCCTTTTTCGAAAATTAATGCAAGTTTAACCAATTATCAATTAAAGCAATAAGCAAACAATATAATACAAAGAAAATAATGAGTAGAAGGCGCAAACGATGTGTTATGGAGGTTCGATCAAATCACGATCTACGTCTCCCGTTACCAAATTCTCCGGCACGAGCAAGGCCTTTTTCACTATAATGAATTGACTTATGGAGCAATTCAACCCTTATAACGTTTTCGGTGACTTATAAACAAGGAGCACCAATCCTCTTACACCATTAAGCTTTCCGGGACCTCAACTGACCCACAATCCTAAATTTAAAAAAAAAATGAAGTTACAATTAAAGACTTCTCTCTTAATTAATGATATGAATTTAATTAAGAATTAAATGAGAAGTAGGTACAACACTTTAATAAATTACAAAGAATAGAACTCAAGTGTTGTATGAAAAACTTTAATGAGATATATGATTTTGCAGAGTTTGATTACTCAGAAAGTTTTTCAAGAAAGAAATAATTTGATCTTATAAAGATTGAAAACTAGGTAGAAAGTATCAATAAATAACTCTCTTAAATGCTCAAGAGTTGTTGTAAATGAGGTAGAGAGTGGGGTATTTATAACCATCAAACGGCCAAAAAACTACCAATCCGGATGTCCACTTGGGATCCGGACGGGTAAATAGCCATTTGAGAAACGGTCAAAAAATTGACCATTGGGGTCCATCCGGACTTTCGGATGGGCAGAAAAATCTGTCCATCCGAATTTTTCCTTCGTAAAAACATTTCTATAGATACTTGAAGGACTTTCTCATTTACATGGTATAGATAAGTATTTTTGTAAACATTTAAGCTTTAAAATCAAGAACCTATCTTTTGTAAATAATTTCTATGCAAGCATTGTATATCGGGAAGGAGTGTCGTGCATCAAAATTGTTTAAGCTATAGTCGATGCGAAAGAATTGAAAAGTTATACCTTTAAGTATGAGCACAAAAACACATCTATATCTAGTGTCTTCAGTTTCCAAATGATCTTTGATGCGAAAGCTTGATTTTCATTTCTATGTTTGTTGGTCTCCAATCTTGTATTGATCGTTTGGCACCACCCAGCATTGCTCCGTCAGGCTTTCGCCCATTACGAAAAATTCCCCACCAAGGTTGTTCGTCTGTGTGTATGAATCCAGATCTCGATTCTTGTGTTTTCATTCTTCGTTAATTTCATAATAATCACTAACAATATTTAAACTCAATTTGTTAGAATTAAACGTAATTTGTTTGTGATAATCAAAACGAGAAGTCAACAATTTCCCCCTTTTTGATTATGACAAACAAGATAATTTGTAATACAAACATTAAACAAATTGAATAAGCACAAAATAACAATAAGTGTAAGTTTTGAATTTTACAAATAATGTGCACCTTATTGATTTTACTTAAGTTCTCCCTTTCACCATGCATATGAAAATTTTGAACTTCCTCCTTACAATATTCTTCCTATTTTGCATAATCATCTACTCATCTTTCCCCTTTTGGCATAAGCGAAAAGAAATAATAAGAGAAGTAGAATAAATGAAATATTAACATAGAGGAAGTCAACCATGAAAATTGTCAAATAGCATAAGAGAAGTGAACGATGCAATAAAAGTCTAACAAACAAAATGTAGGGTCAGATAATAAAACATCTAAGGAAATAAACTAGGGGGCCGGAGGTGGTGGTGGATGTGGGAATTGAGCATAGAAATTAGCAAAAGAAGGCAGCCTGATGGGCCTACATCTCGGCATGTCGCTGCTGCAACTCAAGCTGTCGATCATGGATAGTAGTCTGCTGAGCCTAAATCTGGAGTAATAGGCTACCCATGCTATCGACCATCGAGGTAAGCGAATCAATCCGCCCATTTATGATTTTATACTGTTCATCGGTAAACGCAGAATGGCCTCTGGAGGGCTAAGTTGTACTTAAGCCAGGGACATTAGGTGTAGAAACTGCAGGAACATCAGGCTCACTTTCGGACTCATTTTCAGCTTCTTCTTCAAACGAGAGAGTGGATGGATTGAAGGTGGGATCAAACCCTTTTGTATGAGTCACCCATTGCCCTTGTTCCTTTACTATCTTCATCCGTTTTAATGTCTGGATGTTAATAATATCGATAGAGCGTAATTTTATAAAATCTTCACCGTACAAAGAAACATTAAAGTGCTTAAAGATTTTTGTGAGAAGCATCCCGTAAGGTAAAGACTTTGTGTGTTTTGATACATGCACTAGTTTCATGAGACCCATGGCAATAGTAGGAAAATCAATTCGATGCCAACTACAAGTGAATCTAAAATGAAGAGATCGAAGTGATTAACTTTGTCCCGATGACCCTTGTGAGAAAAAATAATGTGTGCAATAATGTTTTGTAAAACTTTACAAAGAGTTAATTGATTTGCACTTAATTTGGTGATGTTTTTGACATTTTCCCCATGACTCGACGACATGCATCTGAAGGATCGTATCCCTCGATGGTAGGTGGAGATTTGTGTAAAAATACTTCAAGTCATAAAGCTCAAGTTCGAGAATATCATGAAGTATGGCTTTGAAAATTGTTATGCGCACATTTTTAAGTAAGCATGTAATCTAGCCAGAATGAGGTGCGACGTGCATGTTTTGATAAAAATCTTTCATAAGGCGTGGGTAGGCGTGCTCTTCCATAGTTGCCACGAATACACATCCCATATTTATAAAACACTCTTCAATGTGAAATGTGAGAGCTTCAATTGTAAAATCCATAAAATCAACATTCTTACTAATTAAATTGGTGATTTTTGGAATGGGTTAAGTGGCACCTCCGATTCAAAATCCATTTCTTCGTTCGAGAATAATGAAGTAGGCCTTCTTGCCGTTCTTTTCATCCGTTTTCCTCATCGAGAACTCAACATTATTGAGAAGTAGTGAAATTTTTCCAAAAAAAAAAAAGAAAGAAAAAGACAAAGCCTCAATTCACACGTTCTAAGGCGTGAAAAAAGGGGAGGATTTTGAAGAAGGATTGAAATGGCAGATTAGTAGTTTAGAGAAAAGCGTTTTTCTATGTCAATTTGCACAAAACAAAAAAAAATCAACCTAGGGCACGAGTGAGGTGAGAGCTTCAAATTTGGAAAGATGTGAGGAAGAAAATGTGAGTATTTGAAGCTTGAATCTTGTGGATAACAAGAAATTTGAAGGAATATGATGTTGAGAGAAGAATTTGAGAGTGGGTGAGAAATGTCGAAGAAGAAAAAGATAGAAGAATGAAGGATAATTTGCTTGGTTCACGTTTTGAAGAACGCGAACCGCTACAGATTCGGATATGGTTCGTGTTTTGAAGAACGTGAACTGCCACAGATTCGGACGTCTGGATTGACAGTGTTCAAAAAAAACACTACCAATCTGCACGGTTCCGTCCGGACCGGATATGATGCGTCCAGATGACCCTTTTTTTTTGTTAAAAGAAATTATTCTTCTAAATTTTCACCAATAATTCCTAAACTTCTTCGAATAGATGAGAAACGATCGTGTGCGAGAGATTTGGTGAAAATGTGGGCCAATTGGTCTTCGGTTTTTATAAATTCAAATTCAATATATCCTTTTTGTACATGGTCACAAAGAAAGTGATGTCTAATCTCAATATGCTTAGTTTGTAAATGCAAGACGGGATTCTTTGATAGATTAATAGCACAAGATAAATGATAAGCACATAATGTTTGTTTCATTCATAATGGTTTGTGCACAACAACTAGCGGTCGAGATGTATTCCACCTCGACGGTGGGTAGTGTAACAGAATTTTGTTTCTTGCTAGACCAGGACACGAGTACAAAGCCTAGAAAGTGACAATTTTTGCTAGTGCTTTTATGATCAACATTACATCCGCCCCAATTGGCATCCGAATAACTAATTAAATCAAAATGTGTACATTTTTTATACCAACGTCCTAAGGTCCTGGCTCCACTTAAATATAGAAAAATTCTTTTTACGGCACCTTAGTGAGATTCCTTAGGATTTGATTGAAATCGAGTACATAAGCAAATACTAGATATAATATCCGGCCTACTAGCAGTCAAATAGAGAAGGGATCCAATCATACCTCGATATTTTGTGACGTCCACGGATGTGCCTTGCTTATCTTTATCGGGCTTTTGGGACGTGCTCATGGGTGTATTCATAGGTTTGATGTTATGCATATCAAAATTTTTAAACATATTTAATATTTATTTATTTTGATTTATGAAAATTCCATTTTTTGATTGTTTGATTTGGAGACAAAGAAAGAATTTTAATTCACCCATCATGCTCATTTCAAATCTATACTCATGCAATTTGAAAATTCTTCACAAAGATGAACATTTGTAGCACCATAAATAATATCATCAACATAAATTTGAACAATGAGCATATCCTCCTTATGCATTTTTACAAAGACTACAGTATCCGCTTTTTAAATCGAAAAACAATTTGAGAGAAGAAATTTACTCAAATGTTTGTATCATGCTCTAGAAGCTTGTTTCAAACCATAAAGAG